GGGTGAGGAAAAATGAGAACACATGGACACAGGGAGGGGAGTACTAAACACTGGGGTCTATTGGGGGGAAAAGGGGAGGGCCAGTGGGAGGGGGAGGTGGGGAGGGATAGCCTGGGGAGAAATGCCAAATGTGGGTGAAGGGGAGAAAGGAAGCAAAACTCACTGCCATGTGTGTACCTACTCAACTGTCTTGCATGTTCTGCTCATGTACCCCAAAACCTAAAATGCAATAAAAAATTAAAAAAAAAAAATGAAAATTAGAGATTTCATTCTGTAGGAAACCTAAATGTCATATCCCCTCTTTCACAACAATAAGTATTAGGAAACTCTAGAGAAAATAGTCCAAAGAGGGTATACAGAGAGGCTAACTTCTATTATTTGGCTAAGTTCTGTACTGTTAGGTGTATATACATAATTTAATCAGCATACACTGACTCCTTAGTAATGCCCAGCATGGGGCTGAGTAAGGGAAGGGGGTTGTCCAAGTGATATAAACCATAAATATTCAATCAGTAAGCTTACAATTTTGAATAAACAATAAAAATGCATAAACTGTCTAAAAAACAATGTATAATAACAAACAAAATTCTACCATGTCTACCACACACAATACAAGCTGTAAGAGTTCACAAAATGAAAAGTTCATTTTTTTTCTGGGATTCTCTGGAAAGCCTTCATGTAGAACTGGGTTTTAAGGTGAGGGGCGCTTTTTCATTTTCACATTGCTGATAAAGACATTCCTGAGACTGGGCAATTTAAAAAAGAAAGAGGTTTAATGGACTCAGTTCCACGTGACTGGGAAGGCCTCACAATCATGTTGGAAGGTGAAAGGCATGTCTCACATGGTGGTAGACAAGAGAATGAGAGCCAAATGAAAGGGGTTTCCCCTTATAAAACTGTCAGATTTCATGAGACTTATTCACTACCATGAAAACAGTATGGGGGAAACTGTCCCCATGATTCAGTTATATCTCCCACTGGGTCCTTCTCACAATATGAGGGAATTATGAGAACTGTAATTCAATATGAGCTTTGGGTGGGGACATAGCCAAATCATATCAGGTATGATTAAGTAGAGAGAAAGGGGGAAGCTATTCTGAAAAAGAAATAATCAGCATGAATCCATAAAACATGTTCTCACTGTATACCCAATATAAACTGACAGAAGTTATTATTGTTCAGACTAATGTTTGTGGACTGGAATTGGTTAGCTCAGAGCTTAAAGGAAAGCAAAGAGACCCTGGGTTAGGGGCTGAACCAGAAATCTAATAGAACTCAAACAATGTGTTCATGAAGGAGGAACAATGAGTGTAAATCCATTGTGCCTGGAAACCATGTGGGACAACTAAAAGGCAGCCCTGTTTCTTCATTATCTAACTTGGAAACAGAGATGACCGAAAATATCATTATGTGTCTCATGACTGTATTCATTTTTTTGTAAGATGGAGTCTTGTCTGTTGCCCAGGCTGGAGTGAAGCTGTGCAATACTGGCTCACTGCAACCTCCACCTCCTGGGTTCAAGCGATTCTCCTGCCTCAGCCTACTGAGTAGCTGGGATTACAGACACATGCCACTACACCTGGCTAATTTTTATATTTTTAATAGAGACAGGGTTTCACCATGTTGGTCAGGCTGGTCTCAGACTCCTAACATCTTGATCTGACTGCCTCAGCCTCAGTGCTGAGATTACAGGCATGAGCCACCGTGTCCAGCCCGTGACTGTATTCTTTTACATACTGCTAGATTTTGTTTCCTAGTACTTTGTCTAAAATTTTTTGCATCTATGTTCCCGGGAGACCTCATAATTTTTCTCTTAATGTCCCACTCAGGTTTTAGTTACAATTTTTTGGCTTCATAAAATGATTTGAAAAAATGTTTATCCATCCCATTTTATGAGATAGTTTGTATAAGATTACTGCTATTTCTGCTTTAAATATTTGGTGTAAGTAACAGACCATTCATAGGAACCCAGGCCATCTGATCTACTCACTTTCCAGAAAATTTGTTCCATCTATGCTGACTACTTACTTAAGGTGTAGTTCAAATTGTTATTTTGTTTTCTGCATATCGCACCAGTTGCCAACTGGATTCAAAAATCTGACTTCAGCTACTTCTTCCTTTTGGCAAGATTATAAGTGAGGTCTCATTCTTTCATCAAGAAGCTGATGAAAAGAAGCCGAAGAATACTCTTTTCTCTTCTTTTTAAGTTAGCAACCATTGTTTCTCAATGCCTAGATTCACTGGAGATTTTAGAGGAGTGATAGTCTAATTCTGTCATTATGTTTTGTTAGCTAAACTAATGAGATATTCCCCTCAGTAGTTCAATTCACATCGGAAAGTAAGATGTTTGTCTCTTCAATTTACAAGTTTTTCAAGATAATGACTTGTTTTTCTCAAAAGGTGACCAATTAGTTTGATGGTGCTCTTTTAACAATATATGCTATCATTTTGTTACATAAATTTTAAGTATAAATACTGAGCTGTTGTTTAACTCACACTTTTATGTTACCATTTGTTACATCAAAATTTTAAAAAGTATATGCCAATTGTGCTATATTTCTCTAATATCTTTTGGATTATTAGAATTATTAAAAAGAATATATATATTAATTTTAGCCATCCATCCTTTCTTACATAGTATGAGATGAGTGTCCAAGTTCATTTTTTCCCTGATTCATAGACTACTATACTAGCACAATTTATTAAATAACCTATTATTGTCCCCTGGTGTTCAAGTGCCACCTTTATCATATATTAAATCTTTCTATTTATTACTAGATGCCCTATGGGGTTCCATTGATTTATTTTTGCCTTTTCACACCAATATCATGGTGTTTTTTAGTTCAGTGGTTTTATGGTATGTTATTAAATTTGGAAAGACTAGTCCTTTAATTATTTTTCTCTTATATAGTATTTTTTGCTACTCTTAATGCAGAAACATTATTGTATTTTTTCCCGAGTGTCAACATGTTTTTTAAAAAATGAAGTTTTCCCCACCATCCACTGACAATTCCTATTGTGATTCTCATTGAAATTTTGGCAGTTTATATATTACTTTTGGGAGTATGGTAATTGTATAATATAAATAACCTATCATCTAACCACCTGTGATCACCTTTCTACCTAGCTATCTATTGAAACAACTATTTGTTTTAAGATATGATTAAAATGGAAACTTCAACTATAATGTAAATGAGGAAAAAAATTACAGCAGGATATTTTTATTCTCCCTTTTTACTGTGGGACACACAAGGAAAGCAGCAGCAGGGTGACCCAGTCAAACCTCCAGATAAGCACTAATGACAGAAATCCTAGCAATGATACAAATGGTATTTGATAATCAGAGAGTTTTATCTATAGAATTTTAACATAATGAACAGAGTCTGTTTAGGATTACTTATGATAAATAAAACTAGAAATTATGATATGAGGCATGGATCCCTGGAAAATGTCACGTAAGCTACATTACTATAAGAATATAAAGATGGGAATGTTGCATGACTGAAATTCCCCTTTTGTGTCAATAATCTAGCTACATGCAATACTTAGAGGAGGTCTCATACATTAATCTGGGTAAGAGTGTATCTTGATCCAGCTGGAGTGTCCTGGGAAAGTTTGGGATTTCCTAGATTTTTTTCCCTTTTTTGCTTGTGCCTTTTGATCACTTGCATCTTTGAGATATTCAGAAAGTCTTATACTTAGATCTAGGATTCATATGAGTCTATTTGGCAATGAGGCCCTTGTTATGTTAATACAATATTTTATAAAGCTCTAATAATTATCCTTTTATCTGTGAGCTCTTTACACTTTGTGCGTTTTTAATGCAATATTTATCATATGGCATTAGAGTCAAGGTTTTTTTGTTTTGTTTTTTTACAGATTTATACAGGAAATGTGTTAATTTATTTCTAAGTCTCTAACTCTTTCCCATAGTATCAGATTCATTGTAAGAAATTGTAACGAACATTGGATTTTTTTGGTTGCTTCTTACCGTTGCTATGTGTCTTTCCCCAGTTTCAATGTGAGTTTTCTCTAATGATCCGCACCTTCAACTCATTTTTGGGAAACTCCATTTGGGCATTCTGACCTGCTTTATCCAGGGAGGTGGAGTTATCTAGCAATTCACAACCCACCATCCTATGGTTTGTAGCCAATAACTCACAAGTGGAGAGTAAAAGTCTACTGAGGTTCTGAAGTATAATTTACAATCTCCACCTTCCTGCAGGATCAGGCTGAAGCTGAGACTTCATTTTAAATCTAATCCTTATGTTACTTAGTTTCCCAGCAGAGATAGGGGAAAAACCCCTATCTTTGTTGCTGGTTTCTCTGGAGAGGACTTCCTTTAAGAAGTCATATGCGATCAATCTTTAGGATCTGTGCAGGAGAAATACCAGCGGATCTTTCCCCTCTCTGCTCCATTCCATTCCCACCCTTCCCTCTTCAATAAGCAGGAGCGAAAAAGACGAATTCCAAAGAGGATTGTTCAGTTCAAGGATATGAAGAATTCAGAATAATTTTGGTAAATGGATTCCAATATGGGGAATAAAAATAAGCTGAACAGCTGACCTGCTTTGAAGAAACATACTATCCATTTGTCCAAGATAATCTATAACAACCAAACCAATCAAAATGAATTTGACATTATTTTCCCAGGTTGAAAATCATTCAGTCCACTCTAATTTCTCAGAGAAGAATGCCCACCTTTTGGCTTTTGAAAATGGTGATTTTCATCTGCCCTTAGCCATGATATTTACCTTATCTCTTGCTTATGGAGCTGTGATCATTCTTGGTGTCTCTGGAAACCTGGCCTTGATCATAATCGTCTTGAAACAAAGAGAGATGAGAAGTGTTACTAACATCCTGATTGTGAACCTTTCCTTCTCAGACTTGCTTGTCACCATCATGTGTCTCCCCTTTACATTTGTCTACACATTAATGGACCACTGGGTCTTTGGTGAAGCAATGTATATATATATATACACTTAAAAAGGAGAAACAACATGATGGACAAGATGAGAGACAATAAGTACAGGTCCAGTGAAACCAAAAGAATCAATATCATGCTGCTCTCCATTGTGGTAGCATTTGCAGTCTGCTGGTTACCGCTTACCATCGTTAACACTGTGTTTGATTGGAATCATCAGATCATTGCTACCTGCAGCCACAATCTGTTATTCCTGCTCTGCCACCTCACGGCAATGATATCCACTTGTGTCAACCCCATATTTTATGGGTTCCTGAACAAAAACTTCCAGAGAGACTTGCAGTTCTTATTTAACTTTTGTGATTTCCGATCTCAGGATGATGATTATGAGACAATAGCCATGTCCACCATGCACACAGATGTTTCTAAGACTTCTTTGAAGCAAGCCAGCCCAGTGGCGTTTAAAAAAATCAACATTGATGATAATGAAAAAATCTGAAACTGCTTCTAGGCTGCGGTCCCAGATAACATCTGTTTAAAAACAAGCACAACCTGCAACATACTTTGATTACTTGTTCTCCCAAGAAATGGGGTTGAAATCATTTGAAAATGACCAAGATTTTGTGTCTTGCATTTTACTGCTTTTGTTACAGTCGTCCTAATTACATTTGGAACAAAAGGTGGGCTTTGGAATCTTTTGGCAGTAGATTTGACCAGATATCTGTGAAGTGCATTTTGTGAATTTATGAATATAATGTAAAGACTTTTATACTGTATTTATTGGAATGAAATTTTTTTAAAGTATCTCTATTAACTGACTTCAAAAGTACTTGCCATCCAATACTGTCATTAGATTGGGTCACCTCGATTGGATTAGATTAGATTCGATTGTCAGTAGATTGGGCCATCCTTATTTTATGACAGGCATCCTTTTAGTGTGCTACAGTAGTAACAGTATGCAGAAGCAGCACTCGGGAGCCAAAAGAGAGTCTGGAGTCATTCAGAGGTTTCTTTTTGGTTTTTGGTGTGTGTGTGTGTGTTTGTTTTTTTCATGTTAAGGGAGGATTTAATTTGCTCCTAACTGATATGTCACTTAAATGAAAATTTAAAAGTGAATAAAAGTACATATTTCTCAGCTGCAAATATTATGGGGAATTCGGGTACCCACAGGAATGAAGAAACAAAGCAGACCCCTAACTTCAAAACTATTTTGGTACTTGACAACAAGAACATTTTAGAGTAATTAATTTAATAATGTAAATGAGTATTGCTGCAAATGGTTAAATTATATTCATTTGAATTGATGGTCAAGAGATTTTCTATTCTTTACAGACTGTTCAGTGTTTGTCAAGCTTCCTGGCATAAATATGTAACTCAAAAAGCATTTCCGCTTACAATATATAGAAACAAAATGTGTTTTCCATACAGCAGTGCCTATATAGTGACTGATTTTTAACTTTCAATATCCATCTTTCAAAGCAGGTAACACCAAGGTACAATGTTAAAAGAATATTCACTTCACCTAGCAAGGAAATACACAAAAACTGAGAATATTTCATATAGCCCATTTTAACTTGTATAAACTGTGTGACTTGTGGTGTCATATAAATAATGCACCGTAAAGATTACTAAATAGTTGTTTCATGCTAATGTGCCTAATTTCATGTATCTTGTAATCACGATTGAGCCTGAGAATCACTTGGAGAAACTATATTTTAAAGAACAAGACATACTTCAATGAATTATACAGATAAAGTATTAAATGTGTTTGATTTTAGAAGGGCTTTATTAAAATCAATTTGTTTTTGCTTCAAAAAAAAAAAAAGAAGTCATATGCACATGAACCTTTGTCTCAGGATCTACTTCTAGGAAAACCTAGGAGAATGCTCAATTAAATTTTGAGAAATGGCTGAACGAATGTATAAAATATTCAACACTTAAAGGCTTAAATTAATTGTGATTATTCTTATTCCCTACAAATGCAGATGACTGGTCTGGTTAAGAATATTTTTCATTTGTGATTACAAAGTAGAAAGCCAAATGATTAGAAGATAAACTGATAACTGATTGGAAAGTAAATCATAAAATAATATATTTATATTAAATAGATTTTAAGAGACAGATTTGTATAGTGGAAAGAGCATGAGCTTTGAAGTCATATAAATTTGAGTTTGAATCCTATTTCTGAAATATGTCAAGTCTTCATATGTTCTAACATATTAAAAATTGTTTCTCCCGATCATCTACTTATCTATCCATCCATCCATCCATCCATCCATCCATCCATCCATCCATCCATCCATCCATCTATTTATCTATACATATCCATTTATTGGCAGAGACCACATCATAAAAAAAGACATGTGAAAGGGCCCCAAACTGCTCAGAGAAAACTTGTAGCCTTTGGGGCTAGACTAATCTGGCATGCGGCAAGAAAGAAGAGGTGAAGCTTTGGGAAGTAGGCCAGTGATAGATTGAGAGTCATCATGCACAGTGAATGCATGCAGATGCTGGGGAATTCTCATTAACTATTAAACAGGAAAAGCAGGAAAATTGTCTCGGCCAATATGTGTGTTTAAAAGGGATTTGCAGAAGACATTTGGAAGAAAATCATATGGAAAATCAGATTTGATATATTTTTGGTAACCTCACATTAAAGGCTTTTTATGTCATAAAACCAATAGATATTTTTTACATTGGGAAGGTATGATAATCTGTGTTGTCGAAAATACTTTCTTCTAGCACAGCTACAAGTAACATTTAGGAATTTTAGAAAACATATACATGTGAATATACACATATATACACACATATGAGAGAAAGACAGGGAACTCTGTATAAGTTTGAATCAACCCTGTTCGATGTATTTTTTTTTTTTTTGAGACAGAGTCTTGCTCTGTCACCAAGCTGGAGTACAGTGACACAATCTCGGCTCACTACAACCTCTGTCTTCTGGGTTCAAGTGATTCTCTTGCCTCAGCCTCCCAAGTAGCTAGGACTATAGGCACACACCACCATATCCAGCTAATTTTTGTATTTTTAGTAGAGATGAGGTTTCACCACATTGGCCCAGATGTTCTTGATCTCTTGACCTTGTGATCCTCCCACCTCGGCCCCCCAAAATGCTGGGATTACAGGCATGCAGGCATAAGCCACCATACCTGGCCCTCAATGTAACTTTTTATTAAAACTTGACTTGTCAGCCGGGCAAGACTCTGTCTTAAAAAAAAAAAAAAACAAACACTTGACCTGCCCTGTTACAGGTTATCTGCTAAGCATGTTTTCAAGTAAAATTCTCAGCTGGGCGTGGTGGCTCATGCCTGTAATCCTAGCACTTTGGGAGGCTGAGGCGGGTGGATAACGAGGTCAAGAGATCAAGACCATCCTGGTCAAAATGGTGAAACCCTGTCTCTACTAAAAATGCAAAAAAAAAAAAAAAGAAAGAAAATTAGCTGGGCATGGTGGCATGTGCCTGTAATCCCGGCTACTCAGGAGGCTGAGGCAGGAGAATTGCCTGAACCCAGGAGGCGGAGGTTGCAGTGAGCTGAGATTGCACCATTGCACTCCAGCCTGGGTAACAAGAGTGAAACTCCGTCTCAAAAAAAAAAAAAAAAAAAAGTAAAATTCTCTTTTAGTATGTTAGTGTACATTCGTTCCTTTTCATTTCAACCAGTTGTACAGAATATTAGATTATATTTCTTATAGTATTATTTTAAAAGCTTTAAAATTGAATAACTTTGGTTTATTATATAACAGTATCAATGAGAAAATAGATATATCATCACAAAAATCTGTCAAAATTTCTAAACACTTTCCACACTTTAAAAGTAAAATCACTACTTTCTATTCCAAATCTGTCATGAAAACATTTAAAATTCATGTACAGAAGATAAATTTGGCTTATATTGTTCATTTACTTATCCAACAAATATATCTTGAGTGCTCATTTTTCTGGCATTACTATAGAACTGCCATGATAATTACATTTACAAAGGATTCAAAACTAACACTCTGTATAGGAGAGAATGAGTCCACTGTATTGTATCTTCTGTAAAGGAAGAGTCATCATTTAGGTCCAGTAAGGGTCTACATGCCAGGGTCCCTCAAAAAGTGTAGTTATTTTGCAACTTTAGCTGATTAGGAAAGTTGTAATAAAACATAGAATTTAGTTTGGGTATCTCTTAGGAAAGAGCTGCTGTTAGTGGGAAATTTACTTAAAAGATGAGGGTGAAAGCCACAAGGTTCCAAGACGGAGACTTAGAGAGCAGTAAGTGTAAATGCCCAAAGGCAAGGGCATGGACATTTCTTTTTTCAAAGTGTTCACTTAGTCTTTAAACATACGTTTGTAACAGCAAGCTTCATATGAAAGGTGCCTGTTCTCAATTTGACTCAACAAATGTCTGTTGAGCAGCATCATGCCTTACAGTACTTCCTACCAGCAGTAAGAACCTCAGTACAAAAGACGCTGGGTATGTAGAGTCAAATGTGGCTAAGAGTATATGAAGTGAGGTCAGAAGGATGAGGCCTTGTTTTAGTCAGTGAACAGCCATCTGTATTCCATGTGAGAATGAAAAGTCAGTGACTGTATCTTTGGTAAAAAAGGCAGCACACAAAACCAGGAGACAGTACCATCAGATGAAATATTTATAGGTTCCTTGTGTCTTCTCTATCCTCATCATCCTCTATTCCCCATACCTGATCCTGGAGTAGTCACCAAAACAGCCAGCAGGTGAAGGAGATAAAAGGAACATTTAAGAGGCTGATCATGCTTCCTTTGCTGACTATAGGTTTCTCTGCCTTGAATGTACTTGGGGTGAGAGAGGAGTGGTATAATTTAAAAGGGGTTTAAAATTAAACTTGCTTAAATTAAAATTGTAATGCCCAGAAATAGAGGCTATTTATTAACTGCAAATGGCCAGAGAGACTGTGGGACTTCCTAGAGACACTTTCAGAAAAAGAACGAGTACACACACTGAGTCTACAGCACACTGGGAACACAAAACTTTTGTTTTCATCTTACTGAGACCAGCTGATTGATTAAACTTGTTTCATTTTTTTTAAACTATCACTACTTGGTGCAGACCATGGTAATTACCTGTATATTAAGATGCGTTGCAAACTCCAACTGAGAAAAGATTTGCTGATGATTGCTGTGCAGACAGCATGTGCAATTTTACTTAATCAAACCATCTTTGAAAAGCACCAAAGGAAACAAAATGCTGTGATTAAAGGTAATCATGTTTTTTTTTCTGAAAATACCTCAAGGACAAATAAAGAAAGAAAACTGGGGGAAGCAAAGCAGCTATATGTGAAAATAACAAAATAAGAAGAAATGATGGAATAATAATAAATTGTACCAATTTCTAGCACCCTCACCTTTTAAGGAAATTCTGCATTTACCACAGCTCTGTCCTAAGAGATATCCAAACTGAATAGTTTCATTGCAACTTTCCTAACCAGCTAAAGTTGCTAAATAACTAGAATCTTTGATGGACCCTGGTGACAGACCCTTAATGGACCTAATTAATGACTCTTCCTATATTTGTTAGTTGATTATAGGAAACCATTCAAATGTGATACCAACTTCTTTTCTTATACAAATTTCTCCCTCTTTCTGCCACGAAAAAAGAAACGAAAAAAG